AAGTTTTCTTCAAGGTGGTATACTTATTTCGCCAACTAAATATATATAATCATATTGATCACATAAAATTAAATCACAATGACAACCTATTGTACTTTTTTTTTTATTTAATTCAAGTAATTTATAGAGGTGTTTCCTTTGAGCAGATCCTGCTGATATTATCTTAGCACTATTAGTGTTATATATACAATCAAGTAAAAATAAAATAAAATAAAATAAAAATAGCTAATAATTTATTTATACTCACAATAATGTACAAAAATTATCATTAATGTATTTTATGGATCTGAATACGAAACTATAAATCATATCTGATGTGAATTGTTGTTCACTAATTTTATCTATATTATATGAATTCGACTAGATTATTTGCTCTCTAAGAAAAAGAATTTAAATTTAATCAAATATGGTATATAATAATTATCAATATATTACTTACATATAGTTTAATATAGTTTTATATATTTCGTATTGTACCTTTTCTTTATAGCTACAATTTGAGGAAATTTTGGGTTTTTTTAAATTACTGCATAATAGTGCAGTATTTTGATCAGTATACCAAGTTAAAATATTATCAATATAGTCCTTTACATATAAAGAATTAGAATCGTTGACAGGAATGGATAATTTTTCTGATAAACAATCAAAGTCTTTTTTGGATATCTTTTTCTTTAGTTGAGAATTCAGATTGTAGACACATATTACACTACTTTTAATAGGACTATTAAAAGCATAATAACTATTAGTAACTATTAATAAAGTATGTATATTTAAACAAATTAATTTACTCAAAGTATTTGATGTTTTTGTCATAATCTACTGAATTTATATAATCAATAAATAGATCGTAAAGGTTTTGCCAGCTCGCTACTATAGTATTCCCAATTAGGTTTATGCTACAACTATTATTATTAGATCACCATCACTATATTCCCTGCATCACTTATACTTACATAGAGATACTACCAGACAGGTACCATAGGCTATATAGGGCATCGTCAATTCTCACGGATTACTCTCTGTTTGGTGTCTAGTTAGTTTTACTGCCTAACTCTATATCTCCTAGTTAGTACATAACTGACTAAAGCCTAGGCCTGCAACTTGTTACATCTTCTGCTGATTATGAAGATGCTAGCGTTTTACGATGTACAACTATGTTCATATGCTGTGCGACTATCAATACTAGATACTCCCGTATGTTGGTAGAGTACAGGCTATATTTCGCAACTGAGGTTGCTTCTAACTAGGTTTGTAATACGTAGTACTACTTCCAACTTGTATCTGCATTAGCTGGTGTTTAATATTAGTATGCCCTTGTATTCAGATGTGCGATTGCACTACCAGTCTGGTGCTTCCTGCCAATTCAGGTTTTTACACATATTCTAGATAGTAGCCAACTTTCTACAGAACCGGAACCTTCCAATTCTAGTTTTCACATATACCAGAGGTGTTCTACATCTAGTTAGGACAATCCTTTTCCACAGATTTCTATTATATTCACCGCTTCACTCATTACTCCAGCTCATATTACCTTTGTGTTACTCTCCTAAGCAAGTTTCCAACCGCTGGGGATGTTGGTGCTACCTAACCCTTCAAGGACTTATTTGTGCAACACTCATGTAATGGAACCTTCTGTGACACCAACTGTCACACGTAATGCCAACTTGCTCTATAATATCAATCTTCTTCTGAGAATTCCTTTTCTAGAATCTTGTACTTCACATGGGTTTTACCACAGGGCTTCGCATTCGATTAATGGTTTTCATAAGAATTACTGAAGCAAATGCCTTCAACCGAACTCGAACCGTTGACCTTGTCTGTGGAAGGTTAAGGACTTAACCAACTAAGCCATAGAACCCAACTCACAAAAAAATTTTTTATACTATATGATTACAGTATATATTTAAATTTTATTATTTATTTATTTTATATACAAATTTTTTTTATTTAATTTACAAACAAAATAGATCATACTTATAAAAGTCTTAGTTATATTATTGTATTTTACTTAATGTAATTACTTATACAGAAGAAATATCAAATTGTTATATATCAATATTTTATAAAATCAATTAAAAACAAGTTTAAGAATAGAGATAACAAAAGTTAAAACTTGAAGCTATTAAAGAAAATAGAGATTTAAATATAGATCAGGACACAAACTAGTAACTCTTTTCATAGATTACTTATACCAAGTTTTCTAAAAAACATTTGATTATATCTTAAAATTCTACTAAGTAAACCACTTCTAGGCTATTAAGTAAAATTGTTGGCAAGACAATTTTACTTCCAAA